AGATAATATAGGCAGGAGCCAGAAAAGGTACAGGCCAAGGAACGGCGTCGACTGCGTCGCGAACCAGCGCCATCGCCACTGGCGGACCGCTTTGGGCTGATGCGGGTGGAGGGGCCGGCACCTTTTCCGAAACCTTTGCCTTTAAGTTGAATGCCGACGGCATCAGCTGCAACAACAACCTTCCTGGAAGGGCGCGGTACCCCGGGTTTGACCCCCACAGGGGGCCATTGTCCATCAGGCTGCTTGGTCCACAGAGTGGCAAGGGGGGCCGCGCCCCAAAGACGCCGAAGTGCCCGGCCGCTCTCCGACGCGGCAAAGGTACATAGCAGTACCCAAGGTTTGCCCTCCGGAGGTGGCCTGTTGGCGTTCGACAAGCTACCAATCGCCCAAGAGGCATCGAAGGACCGAAGAGACCGAACACTCTCCTGTGTGGTTGGATACGGCGAGGCCTGCTCTTCCACACAACGGAGGAGGGTCCGGTACATACGTACCTTGAGTGGGGCTCCTCTGTCCGCCGTGCCATTGGCCACGGCAGCTTTGCCCTCATTGTATTCGGCCAGCTCTGCTTCCAATGCAGCGCGCGCAGATCCACTCGCAAAGAACACCACTTGGAGTTCGGCTCTGAGGACCGCAACGTCCTGGGCAGTCTGGACTGCCAGGTCGCCAACGCTGCCCAAGCGCTTTTCCAGTTGCTCCACCCGATCCTTGGTGTTGGCCAACTCATCCCGAGCTTTTCGGAAATCCTTCTGCTGAACAGGGCTTCTACCTCGCGCGCTGCTGCCAGACGGCATGGACCCGGAAAGCAGGACACAGCAGGTTCGAGCCGAGCAGTCTGAGGTACGTACAAGGCCAAGGGAAAGGACAATACGTGTCCAATACACCCTAGGAGTCATGAACTCGAATTGGGTAGTCGCGCATGTGACAGGAAGTACGGTGGCGTTTAAACGTCAAGGGGTTACTCATAACGGGCATGATCGCAACCGAAGAGAGAGTAGGCGATGATCGCTGTCCACATCAATACCCGGCATGACCCGGACGTCGGTGAACAGCTGAGCAGACTTAGCACTGGCAATCACATGGTCAATTTGGTGCCATAGCTTGGTCCGCTGGTGCTGCCACGTGCCATACTGTGTGTGGTTATAGTATGTGCTCATGATGCGAAAAGGTCGACCCCGTTGACCACGACAGAAGTCGAGCAAGAGGCGGCCATTGTCGTTGAGCTCGGGCAGCCCGAAACGACCCACAATACCCTCAGGTCCAACGAGTCCGTCAGCGTCCCCAACATCTTCAGAAGAGGTACCTACACGAGCATTGAAGTCCCCGAGGATGATTAACTCTTCCTGTGCTTTGCACTGAGCAGCAAGCTCGCCTAACTGGGCGTAGAAGGTGTGTTTTTCGACATCGGAAGCCCGGAAAGTTGGAGCATAGACGGCGATAACATGACAAAGACGTCCGGACAGGCGCAAAGGGATCCGAAGAAGGCGACTACCACGACAATCCATGATACTACCAGCAGCCTCCCAGGCACGTTGCATGTCACGGTTGAGCGCTATAGCGACGCCCTGCAGGCTTACGGGTGCATCGACTGGTAGTCCGGAGAAGAGAATTTTATAGTGGTCGGTTTCGAAAGAACCTTCCCCTTTCCAGCGAGTTTCTGACATAGCGACGAGAGAGAACCCGTGAGCACGGAAAGTATCACATAAAGCAAACGGTTTAGTCGGTACGGCCCCACGAACGGCTAGTAGTCCCCCACTGTTGGTAATACTAGTATGTAAGGTTCGAACGTTTAACGCCCCCCAGCGTAGATTCAAGGCTTTGTGCTTCCAGGAGTTCTTGCTATGCAGGTGGGACTTCCCCACCTTCATATGCGGCCGGTTAAACTCCTGTCGGCAGTTTCGTGTGTTCTTATTGTGGTCCTGTGCAAGTTAAAAACCCCCAGCGGCTTGCAAGGCCACTGGGGGCCTTGGGGGAGGCCTACGCGCAGGAGCCGACAACCCGAGGGAAGTCGGCACGCGCCTGCGTTTCGGTCACCCCCCCGTTCGCGCCCACCGTTAGCTGTGGCGACCTTTAGAACAACCAGGTTGGGAACAAGTTACCGAAAAAACGCAACACACACATTTTGCACAAGCCGCTGCCATGCCACAGGGCCACCCTGCCACCGCGGTGAGGTGGTGGTGCGTCTTTGGCAGGGGACTGGCAGGCCTACAGGGATGAAGCTCTGCAGAACATGCGCTGGTGGGAAGATGGTGTGCACAATTGCGTCGTTCCCACTCCAGAGCCCAACGTGTGGCGATTGATGACTGCGCCTGGGGGCGAGGAGGACTTTGTGAATGTGATTGATGATGGTTCAACGGCGGGATATGCTCTCTCCTATGTCGACGACTTCATCGTCACGGCACCTCGGCCCACGGCAGAGCGGTTTTTGAAGAAGCTCTCAACCATGTGGAAGTGCGCAGAGCCGAAGTGGGTGACTCAGCACCAGTGGTTGAAATTTTGTGGAATAGAGATGAGGTGGAAGGGTGAGGAATTGTTGGTTGGGCAGCCTGACTACACGCGGGAAATTGTTAGTCGATACCCTGATCTTCAACCTCGCCAAGTTCCTCTTCCGAAGCTGGACGATGTGGACCTGGAGGACGAGATTCTTCAGGAGGATGTGAGAAAATGTCAAACCATCATCGGTGAGCTCCTTTGGTTATCAACACGCACCAGGCCTGATCTGAGCTTTGCAGTCTCCTACCTGGGCTCCAGAGTGACAAAATGCCCGAAGAGAGTGCTCAAGTTGGCTCATCATGTGGTGGGGTACCTCATGAACACCCTTGACTATGCGCTCGCCTATAAGCCCTGTTCCGAGGAGATGGACTCCTATGGCCGGCAGAGCTCAATGTTTAGGCTGGAGGTGTTGGCGGACTCGTCGTTTGCACCAACTGGAGGAAAAGGTCATCAGGGCATCATGTGCCTATGGGGTGGCGCTTTGGTGGCTTGGGAATCAAAGACTCAGCCCTTTGCAACGCTGAGCACAACTGAATGTGAACTTCTGGGGTATGTTGATGGCCTCACCCTGGGAGAAAGTGTCGGAGCGATTGTCAACGTCCTCGAGCAGAATGCGCTGGCCCATGAAGGCTGCTATGTTTTGCGGGGCGACAACCTGTCAGGTTTGCAGCTGCTGCATGCCCCAAGCGGGCCTTGGCGAACGAGGCATCTTCGACTCCGCAGCCATGTGTTGAGGGAACGACTGCAGATGAAGTTGTGGCATGCAGAGCACATCCCTGGCGCTGATCTATGCGCTGACCTGTTGACCAAGGCGATCACTGTGCCTCGGAGCTGGGAGTCATTTGCTTCTACGGTGGGGCTCGCTTCGGTAGAGCCTGAAGCACTTGCGGAGGCTCCGGCGCTGTCTCGCTTGAAGAAGTTGGCGCTGAGTGCAGCGGTGGCATTGGGACTGCTAGTGGCGGCTCCGGGCCTGGGCACTGCAGTCCGAGCGGTATCGGTGTGCGGCTTGGCAGCCTTGACGGCATTTGCGCGCAAAAAATGTTCGAAGACGGCAGTGTGGCAGTCAACAAAGAGGTCTAACGCATCCCATTCAAAAGAAACATCAAGATGGTCGAGGGAAGATGAACCCGGCCCAAGCTCAAGATGGTCGAGGGAAAATGAACCCGGCCCATTCGCATGCGGGAGAAACACAACTTACCGAACTTCCCCGCCCGTCGCTCGTTCGATCTCGTTCGACTGTTGCCGGACCGGCGCCCCAGCGGGCGCGAAGGGTTTGAATTTGCCCTGCAGCCATGGCAGAATGCGCATGTGCGCCATGAAGGCGCCACCGCAAAGGCCTCCGCCTAGGCATGTGGGCCTGGGTACGGACGAACCTTGGGAGCTCGCGCGCTTCATGTCACCACCGACTGGTCTGGACCGGTGGGAGTGCCTTGGGAGTGGTTCTGGCAGCGGCGAATGGTGGCTGAGGGTCCTCAAGAGGTTGAGGGGGTGCGGCAGTTGCATCCGCTCCATAGGGGGACGCCTGTGTCCATTGGACGTCTCTCACCTACCCGGATCACTGTGGCCTTCAGCCGGGGGAGCACAAGAGAAGCCTGGCGTCGACGATGCATCATCGATGACTGGATAGAGAATCGAAATTCGGATGTGAGAGACTGCTATGAGTGGTGTGGCTACACGTTCTTTTTTGTGAAGATTGGCCCTGAGGCTGGCACCGTCGAGGGTGAGGGGTCCCTATCTTCGCAGGCTCAGCTGCCGCTGCGGCCTGATGGTGGAGGTTCTCAACCCCGTGAGGGGTATGGGAGTGATGATGGCATTTCTTCACATGCGGTGGAGAGAGGTCGAAAAGCTGTGGAGGCCTTAACTGGCACTTCATTTCAGATGTCTCGTGCCTATGATGGCACGGCAATCACTGCCCGAGTCAATGCGACCTTGGAGGGTGTCCCCGCGAGCGGCTATGAGGCGAGGCGCCTTGGATGCTTGAAGAGGGGAGAGATCGGGCCATCTGCTTAATCGAAGGCAGAGGATCCGAACGAAGAGGCTTGGAAGGTCTCGCTGGAAAGTGAGCGGTTAAGTCCGCCAGAAGCTGATGATTTGCCTGTTTGGATGGGTGTGCAGACGCCTGTAGCGGGGCCTCCTGGCCCGAATCCTGACAGCGAAGACTCGCGGTCGGCTGGAAGCTTTGAGTTTCTGGGTGAAACCGTGGACGAAAAAACCTGCGGTGGATCCCAATAGCGTATGCGGGTTTCAATGACCCAGCATAGGGGGAGTGTGAATGGAAAAGCACGACCCAAAGCATACTTTTTCATGAAGGTCATGAACACCTGAAGAAGGTGAAACCATGGTCAATACGACCTGCGTTTGGCTCAAGGAACAACGTGAGCGGCTGTTTTTTGTCGGTCGCTCTTGAGGCTTTTTCCATAACCACAGATTCAATGGAATTTTACCAATATGTGATAAACATCTAGACGCATATACATACTGTATACACACACAGTGGCTGAATTGCGCAGGGACAACTTTCAGAAGCCAATTCTGATCTAGCAAAGATGCGCCAGATTGCAGATGAAGTCTTGTATCTCGGCTGCGTTGCCCGAGGGCAGAACGCCTCCGGTGTCAGCACATGCTGCGTTTTGTTTCTCCTCCCAGGAAAGTCAAGGAAAGCCAAGCGGATTCTGAAGTAGTACTGCCCTTACTTGTATACTTCTGATTCGACTCTCTAAAACGGTGCTTGTTTGACATTTTGACAGGTAGCTCGTCATATGATCAGATTATCAATGTCTCCCTGGGTGTTTGTGCGTATGATTGCCGGGGAAGTTTGCTCAGGAGAAATGGAAAAAACAGGTGCACAGTCTTGAAAAGGCCGGGACAGAGATCACAACAAGACAATCTTGGATGCCATCGGCTGTTGCAAAACCCGGTGGCCTGACAGGGAGGTTTGCTTTCTCCAGCTGTTCTTCTTGACTGTTTTCATGCCAAGTAGTTAACGGCCCTTTGCTGCAACCTGATTTGGGGTACCACTTTGTGAGTGTGTGCGGCCGCTGAGCTGGTAGTTGCACCTAGTGACCGGCGGTGGGGAGTCACATGATTCTCAGGTGCTGTGGAGTTTTGTCCATCAGTAATTATGCCGACGGCAACACGGAATGCCAATAGTTGACTGGCCTATTTGAGGCATAGCTCGAAGTGACCATCTACCGTATTTTAACGGGTTGAAATCACATGTTCTTTGCTTGCTTGGCAGCCGTGCAGAATGCTTTCTGCCAGGAGCTCAGTCAGGCCAAGCAGCTAGGTCAAGAGATGACTGAGGCCAACCCAGACTTGCCATGTTTTGATGCATGGGCGACAGATGGGGGCGGCTGGGGTCACGAGACCGATTAGACTGACTGGCAGATCCGTCAAATGCACCTTGAAGGCTATGCGTGTCATGACTCAAGCAGTCAGTGAACGTGGAGACTCATCTGGGCAGGCGAAGGTTGGGCTGCAGACCCTTGTCTTTGTTCCCCACCTGTCAGGTGAGGGTTGTTAGAATTTATGTCAGCTGGCGTCCTCCTCATCCTCGGCGTCGTCCTCAACCGCGAGCTCTGGATGGCAGTGTTCCCCGCCGGACCTCAACCGCGAGCTGCGGCTGGCAGTGTTCCCCACTGGACCTCAACCGCGAGCTCCGGCTGGCAGTGTCCTCCGCCGGACATTAACCGCCAGCTCCGAAGAGCACTGGGCGCTGCCGGACCTCAACCAACACACAACCACAAACACACAATGGCAAACACAACCACAAACACACAATCGCAAACACAACCACAAACACATCCACAAAGACACAATCACAAGCACAGCCACAGACACAACCACAAGCACAATCACAAGCGCAGCCACAAAGACACAGTCACAAGCACAGCCACAGACGCAACCACAAGCAAGCACAAACACAGCCACAAACCCAAACACGCAATCACAAACACACACACACACAGCCACAGGCGCAACCCCAAGCCGAATGACAAACACACAACCACAAACATGCATCCACAAGCACACAGTCACACAACCACAACCACAACCACAAAGACACACCCACAGCCTACAACCACAGCATACAGCCGCAACACACAGCCACAGCACACAACCACAACACACACAACCACAACACTCAACCACAGCACACAACCACAACACACAAGCACAACACACAACCCGAGGATCCACAAGCAAAATCGAGACCCACAAAGCTCACGACCATGGCAACATGCTTCTCACCATGGCATGAAGACAAATGATAGAAATGTCATGGCGGGGGTCACTCGAAGTAAAATATTTTCTTGTCTCCTTGCTTTTGATTTGCGTTGATGTGGAAGGTGCTGGTACTGCAGATTGAGAAGCAGAAGCAGGAACAAACTGAGCAAGCCAACCGACAAAAAAGCAGAACCCGGCGCATGAAAGATGAAGGACAGAACTTGTCCGACTGGTGGCTGCGAGGAGCTGAAATCCGCAAAAAGGGAACGTGATGAAGCCCAAAGGGCTTTAGACGAGATTCAATCTTCAGGCTCAAGGGTGCTTTGTCAACGGCTTTGCACTTGTGAAACATTGAGACGGATTTCCAACAAACTTAGTGTGTGCAAGGCGACTACTTCAAAGAAAGGTTTCGATCGGCACAAGACGACATCCGCAACCTAAAGCAGGTGGAGAGCCAATAATGTGCATACCCGGCATGGTCATGGTAGGTGTGCGCACACACTATATACTGTATACAGACATAATCAGACTTATATACTGTATCTATATAGATACATTGTGTATATGTAATATATATATATACATATAGAGGATCATGTTTTCCTGCACAACACACCTGCATCTCCCTCTATGTATATGTACCAATGAATCACATTTGCATAAGCGGGGTTGCAGGGTTGTTGGGTTTTTTCCTTAAATTGTGGTTGTGTTTGTTCTTTTCTCCTGTTGCTTCTGCCTGCCTTATGCAGCTGACAGGAGAACTCGCACTTGTCAGCGACAAATGAGAAACTGAAGCTAGACGGCAATTTCTGACAGTACCAAAAATAATGTTCCATGGTCCATGGTGCAAAACAATATCCCAAGTCTTCTCAGACTGTGACCGAACCATTTCAGGAAAAAGCGTATAGATAGCACCAACCAGGATGCAGAGGTGAAGGCATGCCTGGGAATGACAGGGAGAGACAGAGATATAGACAGAGAGAGAGAGAGAGACCGAGAGAGGAGAGGGAACTCCTTTAGTTACAAGGAAAGATTTGTTTGCTGTTTTTTGGACTTTCTCGTTTGCAGTCCATTGATGGTTTGACTATGGGCCCCGAATCGCCAACGCCTGAGATGCTTTATTCAGGCTACACTCCTGAGCTTGACTGAGCCTAGGTTTGCGGCTGACTCTGCAGAGGACAAACACTAATGCCAGTCACTATGCCCCAAGAGCTTGGATGGACATGTTGATTTTAAGCTCTCCAGCCTGTTTCCTCAAGGAGCTGCGAGAACGGCTTAGAAGCCAAAGCCTTGAACTCACGCGAAGAGAAATGGAACTAAAGCACAAAGCCGAGGAGCTGAACCGTTCTAAGGCCCCGACCCCGTGTGAAACGTTACAGAAGCCGCGTTGCATGATGTCACAACTGTGATGGCAGGCTTTTGCTGAAAGGACGCAGCTTGTGAATGATTGACGCTCTGAAGAAAGATTTTGCTGGTTTCTTACCAGGTTTTGTCCCCTTGAATTTCCACTGATCAGCTAAGGCTTGAATGAATTGTTGGTCCTGGAGTCTGAACAATCAAGTCTCTACGAGAACCTTTGTGACAACAAAGGCATTAAAGACCTCGACGGCCACTTTTTTGCAAAGCCGACAAGCTCGCTATGCCGCTACGTTATTACGCCTCCCATTTCTTTGAGGTCAGCTTGCAGAAAAGAAAGCCAAAGCAAGCTTAATTCTCAGCCACTTGGACCATTTTGCACATCGCTTGCATGTTGATTGTGAAAATTGTGAAAATGGCAGCTGCGATGTGCCAAGGCCGCCTGAACCAATATGTAAAGGCAGAGCAAGCCTGATGCTATGAGTGTCGTATATTGCCATTCCAAGTGTCATTTGGGATCTCAATGTGTAGCCGTCGCCGCTGTGGCCTTTCAATAAAAAGATAGGCCCAACGGCTGAGCAATGTTCAATGACTAGCTGGCTTATGCCATTTTCCCTGCTGGGTTCGTCCTCAGCTGATCGATTGATTGGAGCACTGCTTGCGTTTCACTCAGATTGGTTTAATGAGCAGCTCCATTCAGGCGGTGACGTAATTAAAAGGGCAACTCTCAGCTACAGTTACAGGGCTCAATGTAATGCTTTTGCCGGCGCCTTGCGCGCAAGCTGCTTCGTGCAATTGTTACAAGACGTGAGTCTGTTTTGGTTCGGGCATGCTGGCGTAGTAGCTTGTTGCATGATGTGTGGAATGTGGGTGGAAGCGTGGCTTAGTCCATCTATTCTCAAAGTTAGCCATGCTAATGCATCCTTTCCATCGCCTTTGGACACCGAGCTTCGGAATTTTGCCTTGAGGATTTGGCAGGAGGAAGGTCTGTCGCGAAGCAACAGGGGAGGCTGGCACAGTCGATACCTGGATGTCAAGGAGCCTGTCCTTTCTGGATTCCTAAAGCATGTTGAGAATGTCTCAAGGCTGTTCCTACAAAAATGGGACGGCGATCAAACGTTGAGAGAAGCATTTTCCACCAGGGTGCAAGTGGCAGCACTTTGGGTCAACGTCCATGGAGCCGGACATTACAATGTGGAGCATCAACATGCTCAGGCCGGCTTTGCTGGGGATGACATTCCGTTGTTGTCTGGCGTATACTATCCCCGCAGCCTTGAGGGACGGCATCCCGCCAAATTGCATTTTGCAGATTGCAATGGTTTTCTGCCTCAACTGAGATGTAGTGTGGACCCTGATCCAGGCACAATGGTTCTCTTCCCTTCGACTCTACCACATAGTGTGCAGCCAGCAAACCCATCAAGTTCAGACAGTCAGCAAGCGCTTCGGATCTCCTTCGCTTTCAACCTGATAGTTCGCAGTACAGCTTCCAAGCTGCACGCTGCAGCCATGACAGGAAACCTCGAACGTTTGAAGGAACTCCTTGTTAGCACGACGGGTGACGGTCCAGATCCGGATCATGCCATGGACCTCCAGGGCTTCTCACCTTTGCATCATGCTGCTGAGGCTGGACACATTGAGGCTGTCAAGTCCTTGCTCCAAAGTCGTGCGAATCCCTTGGCCCCTTCTACACACCAATCCCTTCCTGTACACTTGGGAGCAGAAGCAGGACACCATGCGGTGGTCAAAGAGTTTCTAAGAGTAGCCCCAGATGTGGCTTCACATCCAGGTGGAACCCAGAATCGCACACTGGTCCATATTGCAGCTGCAAATGGGCATACCGATTTGCTCCTTCACTTGCACAACCTTCATGCAAACTTCTATGCTCAGCAGGCAGATGGAAGCAGTGCCTTACATTCCTCGGTGCAGAACGGTCACGCAGCTGCAACTGAGCTAATTTTGAAGCACTTCCCCAGCTTGGTCAATGAAGCGGATCTTGCAGGTCATGAAGCTGCCCATGAAGCTGCACGAGGCGGCTCTGAACACATCCTTCGCTCCGTCCTCCGAGCTAGGGCCCATACGCACAGCACGGCCCAAGACTCTTTGACTTACTGGGCGGCACATGGTGGGCATACCAACACACTTGAGTTGTTGTTCTCAGAGCTTGGTTTTCCCAAGTCGCAAGACAATGCTTTCAGAACAGGAACTGCAAAGAGCGAGGCTGTGGCAAACTACTTGGCTGCTGCCTTGATCGGATCCAGACTTAGTTTTCTAGGACACCTTGATTCATGAATGATGGGTTTGCAGGTTTGCAGAGACCAATCAGAGGTGATTTGGTCGATGCCGCTCGATGCCCTCCCGGGGTATTCCTTAGCACCATTGTTTGAGGAGGAACCATCGGAAATGAACATGATGCTCGTGATCTAGATTCATGATACACATCCGTATGTCCAAAAACACATCAAGCCACATTTCTATTGGTCTGTTGGTGTCAATGTCTTATGCGCTCCTTTGCTCACACTATGAAGGCTTTGCATCGCAGTTGTCAGGAGTGTTGGCAAGACCTTGTAGGAACGAAAGGGGAACAAGGTCGGACGGAGCCCCTAATAGCGTCCTTGCTCCTAGTAGCTTCCTTGCTCCTAGTAGTACGGCCAGGAGCCCCTAGTAGCTTCTTGTTCCTAGTAGTGATGCCAGGAGCTCCTAGTAGCTTCCTTGCTCCTAGTACTACGGCCAGGAGCCCCTAGTAGCTTCTTGTTCCTAGTAGTGATGCCAGGAGCTCCTAGTAACTTCCTTGCTCCTAGTAGTACGGGCAGGAGCCCCTACTAGCTTCTTGTTCCTAGTAGCGATGCCAGGAGCTCCTAGTAGCTTCCTTGCTCCTAGTACTACGGCCAGGAGCCCCTACTAGCTTCTTGTTCCTAGTAGCGATGCCAGGAGCTCCTAGTAGCTTCCTTGCTCCTAGTAGTACCGCCAGGAGCCCCTACTAGCTTCTTGTTCCTAGTAGCGATGCCAGGAGCTCCTTGTGAACAAGGACAGCTGGTCTTGGAATCCGACCCAAACACAGCGGCCCAACTGTTTCTTGCTCGAGAGTTCACGCGTCCTCAAGTCGTGAGGCGCTGCTGCGGTGAGACCGCGCTGGAAGCTACTTAGTGCCCACTTCCGTGCACACAAAGCAGTATTCATCTCCTGGCGCATTCACTGCGCCACATACGTGGCAGACCCAAGACCCCCATTCGAATCGAACTGGCCTCAAGGAGAACCGTTCTCTGCTAGAGGGTTCCGGCGGGGGTCCATCCGGACTTTTCGGCCTGCGAGGTGGCAAGTCCGGACTCCTCGGTCTCCGAGGCGGTGATCTCGAACTCACACCCCTGGACCGCGACCGACTCCTTCCAGCGTCGCCCCTCTGCTCATGATCCCCTCCGGTCGCCTCCTCTTGTGAATGAGACCGGTACCTCTTCTCCTTCAGGTTAGCATCCTTCAGGATCTTGAGTCTCTTAGACGGCCTTCGGTGTCTACGCCGTCCCAAATGGCCTTTCTCAGAATGACCTTCCTTTTTGCTCCTCTTTCTCCTAGCCGCCTTGGCTTCTAGATCCGGGGATGCTTCTCCTTCTTCTTCTACCTCCACGAATTCTTCCCCATCATCCTTAGTTGGCTCTAAGGTTTGCTCTTTTCCTTCGCGCTCACCGGCCGCTGAGGGAGCGGCTCCTGGCTCTGTCTCTAGAATCCGATCTTTGAGCTCCGCTCCCAATGATGCGTCCGCTGATTGCGGTACTCCTCCTGCTTCTGGCTCTTCTTTCTGAGTTTCAGGAGGCGCGGCCTTCCGGCCCGCGACCTCCTCCACCGCAACTTCGGCGTCCGCAGGTGGCTCTTCCATCGGCTCTTCCCTTGCCGATTCGGCCACCCCTGGCGCTCCTGAACCCGATCCTGCCGCCTCAGCAGGGGGTTCTTCCTTCACCGCTGTCCCTGAAGATGAAGCCGGATCCCTCCTAGCCCGAACCTCTTCTTCGTCCGTCGTGGCGTCAGTATCACCATCGGGGAGTTCGATGGGCTCGGTCGACCCTTCTGGCTTCTTTCCAGTATGGACAAGCTGAAATCCCGATTCCGTGATTTCCCCTAGGACTTGGCTAAAGACCCTGGGTTTATCGCCTATCGAAAGAACCCGGATCAAACTTTCCGGCGGAGCTTCTAAAGACAGGAGCACAGAAGACACCCCGTGCTCACCATCCGCTCCATGGTAGAGCTTGACTCCATGCTCCCATAGACGGCGCACAGAGGTCTCTACCACTGCCGTCGAGTCCGCGCGGAACCCTGTCTTGCCTTCCCCTGGACTTGGCTTGGTTCCGGCGACCCAGTATACTGTCAAACGGTTGCTCGCATCGCCTCCGCCAGGCAGCATCCCGAAGCGGACAATCCCATCGCACCGCTCCAGAACAGTCCCATGCCAAAGGGAAACATTACCATCTAAGCCTCGTTCTGCAAGGGACTGGTCGGTCACCTCATGGTATACTTGGCCTGGATCACTGATTCCGCTATCTGACGAGTGGCCTTGCACCGCCCGGATCCACCCATCCTTAACCTCGAACCTTTTCTTGGCGCCCTTGCCATCCAGTTCCACTGCCTTCTTCATGTGCGCAAGTGGCACTTGGAAAAGCGCACGAGACGCCTCGAGGCGGATCCAGCCTTCCAGATCCAAGTGACCCCGGTGCTTATACCCACCATGTCGGTAGGCCTTCGTCATGGCGCGCCCCATCGCCTCAGGATCTTCCCAGTAGTACTTCTGGCCGGGATTCGTCCATGACTTCTTACCCATCTGGCCCGCGGGACGAAAGTCCGCGGCCAACCGCGTCCGGCTCCCGACCGCGGCGACCCCGCGACCTTCCCAGCTACCGCGCGGGTCCTCAAACGACCGAAACGGCTGCGGCGGAAAAGACGAAATAAACCAACACTCTCCGAGCAAACAAAACAAAACCATACACTTACGGGAACCGAAGAACCGACGGGTGGGATGGTTGTGGTCCGAGATGGTTTCGTCATGTTTCCTACCAACCCCAGGGGAGCCCGAAACCGGGTCAGGAGCCAAACCTTTGACCCCCAGCGCCTCCAGTGCATCCCCTGCGCGCTGCACCGCTTCCATCGGCGCGTTTTTACACGCTTCTCGGACCTCGTCTTCCGCCTGATTGTCTGTCAGGAACTTACCATCGACTACCCTGCCTGTCCTGACAGTCAGGTCGTCAACGTAGGCCACCCACTCCCGGGTGTACTTCATCTTTCTTCCTCTTCCAGGAGCGTATGCCCGATCCACGACATAGCAGAAATCATCAGGCCCATTGACCGGGCCAAAAGTCAAGCAAACGGGTAAAAACTTACCGCTTCTGGCCACAATCGCTAGGACTTCCATCGCCCGGCGGGTGTTCTTGATCTGATTAAAGCCCGTCACGGCGTCGACAAAAGAATACCAGATGCTACCCGCGGCTGTGGCCAACACGTCCGTGGCCTTCCTACAGTAGTACGTGGAGCGGACCACGCGGGAATTGACCCGTCTGTAGTCTACCACCAATCTGCGCTTCCGATGACGCTTATGGGCGGGCGCTTCGCGAGTCGGAAACGGCGGCGATCCCCAAGCCGAAGTTCCGCGCACTAATTGGCCGCGGCGAACTTCTTCTTCCAGCTTCTCGTCAACCCAAGACGCAGCCTCGCCTTTCAGGTTGTGAGGCTGGGAGCTCACCGGAGGGCCAGACGGCACGCAATCATGAAGCACATTGCGGACCGTCGTCCGCGGCGAACCTTCCAACCAGAAACCGCCTGCCTTTCTTTCCACTACTTCGCAGCAAGCAGCCACGTCAGCCTCGGACAGGTACGGCTTACGTTCCTTCCAATCATCGCCAAAGCCTAGTTCCTTTACCACTTCCTGGCGGTAGGACTCTACCCGCCGAGGGTCTTCCGTGACCTTCTGGCCCGAGTACTGGTAGACTGAAAGGTCTGCTCGCACCGAATCCCATTCCTTTTGATCCGCACGAGCCTTCCACAATTCATCCATCTTTTTGGACAGAGCAGTGACTTCCTTGTCCAACTCTTCCTTTTCTGCTGGACTCAGCTCTTCTGAAGTGACCACTCCCTGATGCTCAGGAGCTGCAACATAGACAGAATTCCGCGAGGCACTGGCCTCCAGCGGAGGAACCTTCTGGCAGACTGGGTGGACTGGGAGCGTACGAAGCGCTCTCTTCAAGCTACTCATGTACGCGTGGCAACACGCAGGCTCATAGATACCGCTCAGGATGCCACAGCCCATCCATTTAGTGCCCCCAGAGACCTCCACCTTTGCAGAACCCTTGATATGCCGATGAGAGTGCTCTACCTGCCCGAGGGCGTCAGGACGACCGCACCTCAGAGAAAACTCACTCAGGCAGAAATTGCCCAGCCAAATTTGTCCCTTCTTCACCGGCTGGCCAAAACTCCCATCGGTCAGACTTTTTGATTCCATCCCATATTGGCAAGCATCTGTCGACGCATATTGCCAAGGATGTTTCGGGCTAGCAAGCTGGCCAAAGTTCCGCGCCCAATCGTCTTCACTCCATAACTGGCTAGCCGTCGGGTTCTCGGCAGTCCCTTTTCTTCCTGCCCTTTCTTGCTCAGAGAGAACCCGGATGACCAGCTCTCTTAGAGTCCGATCGTTGCTGTCTGGTTTCCTTTGCCCCATAACGCTATAATGCTCACATGGCAGTCCAGCGTGAAGCGCCGCTGGCAGCAGCACCGCGTACAGACACCAGAACAGCTCCTGATCCACTGGCAAGGTCAGATCCCAAATCTTGCCGAAGGCGGGATAAATTCGGTCCAACGGCGGAGCCACGCTCAACCCTCTCTGCTTGGCGGCGAACGTGAGCCCTGCTTGTCCAGCAAAGATCTCCCAGAAGTCAATTCGCGAAGGCGGATGCTTCTCTAGCCAAGACCACACAATCCGCCCCTCAGCCGACTGCCATACTGACGGCCAAGAGGGGACGGACTCAGCGGATAGGAGGCCCAACACCTCCTCGACGAGATGGAGACAGCTGCCTGGCCCATTTCGAACCAGATGAACCCGAACCCCACTTTCCTTTAATGAGTACCCTCCTTTGTCTAACTTCCGCGCCGAACCGGCCGCGAGGGCCCCATCCTTCATGAGATCAACCTTGCAAATGACTTCCTTTATCGTCACGAGTTCGAGGAGAGGCCGGGTGCCTTCCTGCCTACACCGGCCCTCCTCGTCCAAATATTCCAATT